TATGCTGGTCGTATGCGGGTGGTATGCGGGTGGTATGCGGGTGGTATGCGGGTGGTATGCGGGTGGTATGCGGGTTTTATGCGGGTCGTATGCGGGTTGTATGCGGCTGCTATGCTGGTGGTATGCGCCTGCTATGCGGCGACCTCCGGCGGCCGTCGCCTGGGGTCGTCGACAGCGGTCGCCGGGCTGCTATGCTGGTGGTATGCGCCTGCTATGCTGGTCTTATGCGCCTGCTATGCGTCTGCTATGCGCCTACTATGCGTCTACTATGCGTCTACTATGCGCCTGCTATGCGTCTACTATGCGCCTGCTATGCGCCTGCTATGCGGGTGGTATGCGGCTGCTATGCGTCCGCTATGCGTCCGCTATGCGTCCGCTATGCGGCTGCTATGCGGCTGCTATGCCGGTGTATGTGGTGTATGCCTGGTGGTCGGCCCCCTCTGCCTGAGTCGGAGATGACGGCGCCGAGCAGCGGAGGCACTCGCCCGTCTGTCAAGGCCTTGTCGATCGAGCCTGGCCGCGCGCGCGATGAGCGCGCTGTCCGAGGCCTTGGCTGTGGGTACGTCCGTGCGCGTCGTCGGATTGGCCAAAGCGACGCAGCACAACGGGAAGCTGGGCAGAGTGTGCAAGAAGGCCGGGCCGGAGGGCCGCATCGGTGTCAAGCTCGACCTCGGCGGCGCGCTCGCCGTGAAGCGCGCGAACCTCGAGGTTCTCGAGACGGTCGCTGAAGCGCCGGCGCCAAAGAAGGCGCGCGCGTCCAGCGACGAAGAGCCGCGAACCGTCACCCGGGACAACGCGGTCTTGCGCGAGTTCAACGGATCGAGAGACCCGGACATGATGGCGCTCTACTTCCACTTCAAAGATCACGCCTTTGACGCGTTCAACGCGGCAGAGTACTACGCGCAGCTCATTCGCTACCACGGCGCCGGGATCCGCGTCGTCGCCGCGATTCCCAGGAGGATGGGCGACAACTTGTATTCTCTGGTGTGCCTCAAAAACGACCAGGTCGAGCGCAACACGCTGTGCGAGTTGGCGTTTCAGTGCAAGCGCCAATTCGTCGGCATCTCCATGCTTGTCAAAAAGGTCTGCTTCGTCTGCCACAAACCGGGGGCCGCGTCCTGCCCGTCGTGCCACTGCGCGTGCTTCTGCTCGGACGCGTGCGCGAAGCGGGGCCGCGAGGCGCACGAGCCCGTGTGCCGCCTCGTCCGCGGCACCGAGGTCCTGCTAGAAGACGAGGTCGTCGAGATAAGCTGAGGTTGCGTTCTTTTCACCGCGAGAGATAGCGGGGCCCGGAGTCC